AATATAGTTTATATATGATTACACTTTAGGTTTGATATTTATTTAATCTTATTAACGAACATATAACCATTATTAGAAAGAAATTGAAAAGTCATAGGAATTTCAAATGAGTGTGGTGAAAGGAAAAATGTATGAAAGTTTCATATGAATATGGTGAAAGAAAAAATGTTTCCTTTATAAGTAAACTAGGCGAATGCCCATGTATTGCGCAGAAACACTTATATAGTTGAAATATTTACAAATATTTGTTTTATTGAATATAACAATAACGTTGGTATTAAATTTGATATGATAATTTGTATACTAAGTTTATATAATGTATTGATTATTTTGAATTATATGATAATATATACATCTATTAAACATACATAATCTCAATCGTTTGAATGACCTCTACCCGCAAGTTAGTCATGAATGAAAATAAAAAATAATATATGGTTTAATGTTATTTATAGTTGTTGTTATTGTTAATTAATTTTTCAAATTTATTTGCTTAACATTTTAATTTCTATCATTGTAATTATTTAAAACATCAAACATTGTTTTTGATTTTTAAATGTAACAGTATAATCATTTGTATAGAGTTATTTTTAATTATTGTTATTGTAAGTTATTTTAAGTTACTTATTTGAAAACTTTTAATGATTATAAAATTATATTTAGGAAATATTTTAGTTAAATTGTGATTAGAATTCAGTTTTTGTATTTAGCACTACACTTTATCACTTTTAACTATTCACAAGGTATTCTTTTGATTTTTTTTTAAATGAACTATTTTAGTTAAATGAACTTTATCACTTTTAACTATTCACATAGAATTCACCATGTAATGTTATATTTAAATTAATAGTTTAAGTATTTTATCCAAACAGTTCAAAAGTTGTAGCTTTAAACTAATAATAGTTTACATATAACAACATATTAAATCTAATAAATTAAATATAATATGTTAAAAGTTAAAGACATAACTTTATAAGTAGAAGTAAAGATATTATTTTAATATTAAAATTTAGTTTATTTATGATAAACTCTAGGTTTGATACTTATTTAACCATATTAACCAATTTATAATCATTATTAGAAATACACTACATTCTATCACTTTTAAATATTTACAAAATATTCTTTGAGTTGTTTAAGTTGAACTAAAATTTATATTTTAATTAACCCTATAATGTTATAGTTAAATTAACAATTTAAAATTTTATTCAAACTGTTCAAAAGTTGTAACTTTAAATTGATAATGGTTTGCATACAACAACATTTTAAAACTAATAAATTAAGTGGGATATGTTAAAACTTAAAAACATAACTTTATAAGTAAAAAAGTAAAGATATTAGTTTAATATTGAGATTTAGTTTATATATGGTTTAACTTTAGGTTTGAGATTTATTAAACCTTCTTAACCAACTTAAAATCATTATTATAAATAAATTGAAAAGTCACAGGAGTTTCAAATGAATGCGGTGAAAGGAAAATGTTTCATTTACAAGTATATTAGGCGAATATTCGCACGTTGCGCATAATATTATACTATAATTAATATATGTTATTAAAAATAGTTATGTTGATATCATTGAATTTGAAATAATATTTTTTTTTTATATTGTAATTATTTTAAAATAAAATTTCATATATGCCCCTCTTAAACTTCAAAATATCATATTTGTCAGGTTTAATTTCTCAATATCATATTTACCCTTCACAAACCTTCAAAATATCATATTTGCCCATTTCCTTTTTTATAATGTTTTTAATATTTTATAATCATTTTTATACCTTAGAATTATTACAATAATTAAGAAATTTAACCATATTATCCTTACGTCTATGATAAAGGAATTTGAACTTCTAAATTGTTGGAATGTCGGCCTCTTAATAGGCAAAAATATTCATCTTCAATCCTTTCTATGGAATGCAGGAATGTATATTTTGATTGTTTAGTTTTTGTTGTTGTTTATTATTACCATGTTATAGATGGATGATATTTTAGATATTACCATTGATATTTTGATGTTTAAAAAATGCATATACGATATTTTGATATTTAAGAAGGGCATATATGATATTTTGATGTTTAAAAAGGACATATATGCTATTTTGAAATTTTATAAAGGTTAAGTATAATATTTAAAATTTTTATGAAGGATAAATATGAAATTTAGAAATTAAGTTGGGTAAATATGATATTTTGATATTTAAGAAACGTATATATGAAATTCTCCTAATTAAAAAAAATTTATATATATATATATATATATATATATATATATATATATATATATATATATATTAAAGTAATGATTAATAAAGTTTAAAGAAATATATTTGATTGGAAAACATATGTATACTCATTTTCTATTTCCACCGGTATAATTGAGGGTTTAACAGCAAAAATAAATGATTTACTGAAAATAATTACCCCATTTCAACTTTTTTTATTTTCTTAATTAAATTTATATATGTGTGTTTGTGTGTGTGTGTGTGTGTGTGTGTGTGTGTGTGTGTGTGTATATATATATATATATATATATATATATATATATATATATATATATATATTGATACGGTCTCAAACCCGAGATATTGATACGGTTCAACCTTACCGTGTAGTTAGTTAGTGGGCCGACTATATGGTCTATTTAAGCCGTGCCAATATCACATCTCTCTTTATAACCTTCTGGTTTCTGTAGCCCCATATACGATCTTTGGTTTAAAGAATTGAAAAGGGTAAATTGTACCCTGTAAACAACAAAACACGAATGATCAAGGTAGCATGTCGGAATTTCGAAACCAAAATATTAGGTCATATGACCCACCAATACAAGAAATATTGTGGTGTGTCATGCCGTGTTATCTCATTACCATAAAACCACTAAATGAGGTTGGTAAACTCATTACTACACATCATCTTTTAATTAAAAACAAATGTAAATGTGTCAAAAATCAAACCATCCTAGCTACATGACCCAAGCTTGCTCCTCTCCGAGTGGTCGTCCTCCTTCATGACCACAATCAACCACATTGCAACCATCACGATGCACACGGGGTGGTGTGCACGATCATAGTGGCGAGCCTTAACTATAGAATTCCACCGCCTAACTGGCTCACTCTTATCACGAGACAAATCTTTACTTTTAGCTCACTCTTTTTCAGTAGAATAAATGGCCATAAATTAATGTACTACTTCCATTTCACAAGATATAAAGGAAATGACGAAAAAGACACCTCATTCTACCAAATAGAGACCTTAATTAGTTAATTGTATCATTTGACACTCAAAAAAACAATACGTCAGATCATGGGACAAGACTCTATTGTACTGTTCAGCACATATATGAACAAGTTTGTCATCAATTACATAATTAATACCTAGCTGAATCTAGCAATCCATCCCAAAACATTATTTCACCAAATTTATTGCCACAATTCACAATCTTCATCCAAAAAATATAAACAATATAGAATCATAAAGCTAGCAACTTTTCATAAAGCTTTCTGGGCAAAGAGTGTGTGGCCCAAATTGTCAACCAATTGACGAGACATGATCAAAGAAACAGGAACCCATAAATTAATGCTGGAAAGGGGGGTTTACCATGATAGTTAAAGGGAAGCAATCTTGTTTCTGCTACAAAAAAGACAAGAGGGACAGTTTACTGAAGAAACAGCAAGTGGTCCATGAGATGTAGCTTTGATCATAAAGTGTCAGCAGCATATGCATTTGTCGTAATGGGGCTATTTACTTGGTGGTGACTACAACTCCATAATGATATAAAAATAGAGTTCCAGATAATTAAAAGCGTATTGAAAAATGATGATTATTATGATGAAGAAGATGATGATGTAGGCTGCGCCGACTGTTCCTTAGTAATGTACTGCAGAATTTATTGCTCTATTTAACAACTTATATAGGCAAAAGTACTAGATTTTAATATCATCACCCTAATATTCCAGGTTCAATACAGATTTCGCATCTATAATAGTCTACATTCATTAAGCTTCAAACCCCACAACCTGTTCATCTCTATCTCCCGTAGTAATGTGTGTGTCGTATTTGTGTGTGTGTGTGAGAGAGAGAGAGAGAGAGAGAGAGAGAGAGAGAGAGAGAGAGAGAGAGAGAGAGAGAGAGAGAGAGAGAGAGAGAGAGAGAGAGAGAGAGAATCTGATCCTGAAACACCAATTAGAAGGGTAAATTCTCTATGGTAAAAACAAGAAAACACTTTAAAGTATAGTGGCTTGTAGCATATGAATTCGAAGTTGTACCTTAGTAGGCTATGGACTACCCTAAATTAAGTCTTTTTAGTTTGATTTTTAGTTTGATAAAATTAGGTAGGGATAGAGAGGCTTACATAGTAATGGACAGAGGTCTTAAAGATTTGTTATGAAGGGAGTTTTAAATACTTGCTTAAAGAGATTAAAAAGAGGTTTCTTAAAATAGAATACACATATTTTTAATGACAAAAGAATTTTCTAAATAGAACTAAGCAACACGTTCTGGAAAAAAAAAAAAAAAAAAATTAAAGATAACCAAGGAATTCACAAGACACCTAAACCCGTAGTATTTTCGATGGTATCTTCTGCAAACCAAGCAATATAAATTTTGATAAATCATATATTTTGGAATGTAAATTTTGTCTCTAAAATCTAGATTTGTGTAGGCGACGAGACAAACACGGCGATGAAATATAGATTTGTGTTTGAAATTCGTTTTGTAATTTTTTTATTTATAGATATCATAGGTAGAAATGTAAGAGTAAATATCTATTGTACAATTTCACCTTTTGTAATATATATATATATATATATATATATATATATATATATATATATATATATATATATATATATAGACTCCGCACTCGTGGTTGATGCTGGGGCCAACACGATTGGTCTGATTATGCAAGAAACGTAATATTGATTTCTTATGGAGGCTCGCCTGATGTGATCAGGCATTCTTGATGATGACACTTTGTACCAATCGGAGAGAGTGGACCAAGGAATGACAGCTCCACATGATCAAACAAAAAATGGAACAAGGTATGCAGTCGATTTAGGTGATGGTGGTCCTGGTAAGAAGCCTGCAGCTTGTTTTAGAGTTCCCTTCGGTTCCTATTCGGTTCCACCTTCCAACGGTGCCATCTCTGGTGTTGTGTCTACAAAATTAGGAACTAATTGTGTGTATCGCCCAGAGTGGAATCTCACTCATGGGTCTCTTCTGACGCAACCTTCCAACACTCATGAATGGTGTAGTCATGCGTTTCCTTCGGCCACTTTAGAGTCATTGGAGCTTCTTTCTCATTCCCATATGGCAACTGATCTCTAATATCTTGTGGCCCAGATTACTCCGTATTTGGTGGTAGCAACGGGTTATCTTCGCTATTTGGGTGCCGACCTGGCGGAGTTGGTTGTTGTCAAGATAGAGCGTGATGAGCTTAGAGAGAAGGTTTGCCTCCTTCAGGATGAGAGAAACAATTTCGAGGAGCGTTATGTTGTTCTAGCTGGAGAGAGTTCTATTGTTGAAGACCATGTAACTAGATTGGATGGGGAAGTGGAGCATTTTTTCCACCAAGTGCGAGATCTGGTGGCGAGGAAAGAAGCGTTGGAAGCGCGTATGAGACAATAAAGCGAGCACCTGGAAGTCGAGGCATCGACGAGGAGAGCCTTGGAAAACGATTTGTCATGGATCCTTCAAGAGGGTTTGGTCCGGGTAGTTGATCGACTCATTCAGAGTGAAAATTTTTCACTTAGGTTCTGGCGCCTGAAGGCAACATGTGTGGCCTCCGGTATTGAGAGCAGTAAGCAGGCGGTGTGAATGCAGTTGGCTACCGGAAATTTTGATCTGATGGAGCCAGGTGTTGCAGCGCAGTCAGTGCAGGCATTGCATACTGCCATAAAGGCGTTCTTGGAGATAGATTCCACCTCGTACCTTCGCCTTGGTGAGTTAGACTTGGCGGGACTCCGCCAGCTCTGTTTGGATCTTCAGGTGGAGGAACGTCCTCAGACAGGCTATCCGAGGGACGTTGAACCTTCTTCTGCTCCTCCTGGCAGTTGACTCTTCTTTTTCTCGAACCACATCTTCTTTTGTTATTAGCTTGTCTATGATCTTCATGTAAGTCCAGAGAATACCCATTGGACAATACATATTTATCGTTTATTTTATGGCATTGCTTTTATTTAAAAGGTTGGCTTACCTCTGTTTTCTGGTGGTTTGTTTTGGCCACCGATGTGGGTTTGCTTGTTTTCTTAATTAATCAATCATCTCCCAAGGTTTATGTTGGTCTTGGGGCTTGATTGGGTTGATAATTGAGCTATCTGCTCAATCTGTGACTCTGGAGTCCTTACTTGTCTAAGTCCCCTTGAGTTCATTCTCGATACTCATAATGGGGACTTGAGGCGTGTCCCATTTTCGAGTCGTGGGCTTTTGTTTCTAAGCCAGATCATTTTATTTAGCTTTTAGTTTTGAGCTTTGGCTAGCTCATTATGTTGGGATGTCATTTTTAGCTAGAGGTAATTGACTACCCCATTGAGACTTTGCTCTAAGTCTTGGGACTTAGGGAGTTGCACTCCGGCCTTAATCATCTAAGTCAAGTCGAGATCATCACCTCGAGGCTTTTAGGGCTTAGGTACTGTCTGCTTTAAGGGAAAGGTTATAAGCCTTTGAAGCCTTTATTCATGTAATGGTCGAGGCTTGTGGCCTTTTTGGCCGAATTAACATGTTTAGGGAAAGGTTATGAACCTTTAACGCCTATGGTTGCATTCTCACAATGGTTTCACTCAAATGATGTGGATGATCAGTCCTTATTACCATTTCGTAAACGTGAACAACCTCTTATGATATCAAGCGTGAATTGTGAAAAAACGTTCTAATACTATTTTTTATAGTGGTCGATTTCCATCACTTTACTGATAATATTTGTAGAACATCATTATTGACTGATGAGAATAAAAAGTAGCTACATTATGATATGGAATAAGGTCTCTTTCTTGGGCCAGTTACTGGGGTGTGATTATCCATTCAGATTTCGATCATGCTACCCTTGCCCCAATTGTATATTATTTTTTTCCCATTTCTCTAGGAATAGAAGTAGCGCAGCTTATGCGTGTTCTAGGTGCGGGGAATCGGTCTCCCGTCTTAGGCTTCTATGATATAGGCTTCGTTCTAGTGTGCATGTACAACTTTGTATGGTCCTTCCCAAATAACTCTTAGCTTGCCTTAGGGTTGTGCATGGCTGGACTCATTCTTGCAAAATGCCCATTCTCCCACCTTGAAGTTTTTTACTCGTACACGCCTATAGTAGTAATTTTCGATGCGGACCTTGTAGGTCGCTTGGTGGAATTGGGCATCTTCGCACTTTTTATTGAGTATATCTAAATCCTAACAGAGTTCAACCTCATTGTTATTCGCAGCAAAGTTTGTTACTTGTAAATATCTGCTTGTGATTTCGAGTGGGAGTACTACTTTTGTGTCATACGTTAAGCTGAAAGGCATTTCTCTGGTGCTAGACCATGAGGTCATGCGATACAACCGGAGTATTGTTGGTAGTTCTTCGACCCAAGCTACTTTTGATTTTATCAAACGCTTTTTAACATCGTTGACAATGATAATGTTTTGATACCTCAATCTGGTTAGGATGGGCTACTAAGGTGAACCATCGATGAATTTGATTCTCCTTGAACCACTCTTTGAAAGGGCTACCCTCGAATTGAGTATCTTTATCACTAATCGGGACTCTAGGGTTACCAAATTACAGGAGGATATTCTTCCAGATGAACTTTATCATTTGTGTGCTTGTGACCATGGCTAATGGTTCAACTTCGATCCATGTGGTGAAATAATCAACAACGACTAGTAGGAATTTGGATCCCCCGGAGCAACTGAGAATGGTCCTACGATATCTATGCCCCATTGATGGAAAGGCCAAGGGTTGTTTATGATGGTTAGAGGCATGGCAAGCTAGTTCCGAAAATGAGTGAAGGATTGGCGCTCCGGGAATTTCTTCGTGAGTTCGGTTTTGTCCTTATATATGCCAGGCCAGTATACTCCCAGGTGGAGTATCATTCCCATGAGCGCCTTTGCACCTTCATGTGCCCCGGCCTCGCCTACGTGACTTTCTTCCAAGAGAGATTGTCCTTCTGCGTGGGCGATGCATCTGAGCCATGGTGCTAGGACCCTCTCTTGTACAGTTGTTTCTCCCTTATGGCAAACTGTGGAGCTTTGGTTTTGATTTTCCTGGCTATCGCAGGATTGTTTGGGAGGACGTCGTGCAAAAGGTAGTCTAGGTAGGGGTTGGTCCAGCTGGGGGCATTGCAATGGAATCGATTTGTCTATTTTCAATGCTCCTCTTCATGAGAACTTCTACCAACACTTTCTTGGTCAAGTGATCGAAAGATGTTGAAGCTAATTTGTTGAGAGCGTTGGCCCTCACATTTTTTCCCTGGGAGATTTGGTTGATCTTGTGTAACATCTTGTTTTGAGGTACTTTCATTGTTGACCTTTATATTGAGATTTATTTCATACTGGTCCCTAAGTAAAAGAAATAATGCAAAAAGGGCCTATAGTGGCACTTGGGTAAATTCGGACTTTGGGGAGTACGTTGAGCGTATGTATGTACACTAAGCGTACTGGGGCGCGCCTTAGTACACTATACGTACACCTCGTATGCAGGGCGTACTTGAAGATCACGCAAACCCTAATTTTTAGGGTTTCAGTCCTATATAAACGTCATTATAATCTCATGTCCCCTTCCTTTTGGAGCCAATTGGAGTGTTTAGAAGAGTTCTTGATGGTTAAGAGTGAAGTGCGAAGAGCTTGGAGTTAGGAAGCACTTTGTATTTGGGATTTCATTCTTGTTTGCAACCTCCATGAGGTATAAAGCTTGCAACTTTACCACTCCATCTTGTAGATCTAGAAATTTCACTCTTTTAAGTCATTTTTGGTCCCAAAATGGTGATTCTTGAGCATGGCTTGTTCTTGACCCATTAAGTGCTCCTTTCAGACCTTAGGAAGGGTCTTGAGTCATAAAAATAGGGTCTTAATGGTTGGTTTTGCTCCATGCATTCCTTTGAAGGTCTTAATGTATTAAGATGTTAAGTTAGGCACTTAATGGACATGCAAAGTCATAAAGCTGGAAACTCTGTGACTCTTGAGGATGATTTAGCCTTGGATCTTAAAGTTAGACGTAAGAGCTTAAGGCATTAAGCTCTTAATGAAGTTTTGAGAAGTCTGGATGTACACTCTACGTAACCTGAGTAGACAGCACATACGAGGTTAACTCTCCCATCTGTGGTCAAGGTTTGGGTACGTCTCGCATACGCATTTTGTGTCGACTCAGCTGGGTTAACTTAGTTGACTTGTTGATTTTGACCAGTTTGACTTTGACTTTGACCAAGGGTTAGTTTGGGTATTTTAATGGTGCTTGAGAATTTGTTATTTGGATGAATACGTGATAGTTAGAGCTGAGATTTAGAGTCGGGACCTCATCAACTATTGTTCAGACTGTGTGGTGATTTTTCATCACTATACTTACGGGTCTAAGGCACCAAGGTCGTCCCATGTATTGATATCCTACTATACATGGATATGTCGAGTATGGGATAGATTTGCATGATTATATGCTAATTACTAATATGCATAAACTAGTAGATCTGTAGGACTACCTGTGATTTCTGTATGCATGATTATCTGTCTGTTGCTTATGTTTATTATCTATTATATGTTGACATATTGTGTTTGGTTGAGGTTGTATTGCTTTGTGATGTAGCTAACAAACCCGAGAGCATTCCAGATATAAGTTGAGAGCCAGTTGCCATGCCAGACTCATACTTAGGGCTCGAGAGCATTCCAGATATGAGTTGAGCTCCGATTGGCATGCCAGATTCGTACTGAGAGCCTGAGGGGATTCCAGTCTAATGACTAAGTGGACCCGTTGTATGCTTGTAACATCGTAAATTTCAAAACAATTTTTCATTTAAATATAATGGTTTAATTCTTAAAAACACTTTTCTTAAAATCTCATTCATAATCAAATTACAAAACATGACTCCATTTTCACTTGCATAATAAACCAGGATCCTCAAAACATGTCTCTTTCGTTGGTGTGTACAATCAAGCCGGTGCCATCCCGTGATCCTGAGAGAAACCTGAAACACATAACACAAAACACTGTAAGCACGAAACTTAGTGAGTTCCCCCAAAATACCACACATAACACATATCAGCCACTCGAGGCTATAACTCTGTGGGTCTGTGGACCCTACTCTGTGAACCTTCCGGTTCTAACTCTGTGAACCCTCTGGTTCTAACTCTGGGAACCTTCCGGTTCTAACTCTGTAAACATGCACATCATAAATCACATAGATTTAATGCAGTACAACACATAACATACATAGCATACAAATACTCTGTCACATAACTCTGGTTATCTACTCAAGGTAAAGTATAGTGAGAAGACTCACCTGGCAAGCAGGAAGCAGATATCCTCACGCTTGCATCTCAAACTCGCCACCATCTATCACATAATGAAAAAGCTCTCTTGAACATAACTCTCGAGACTAGACTCAATCCTCTCTTGGCACCCTCTTAAGGGTAAAAAAACCATTTTACCCGCGTCTTGGCCTAAAGGTCACATTGCTGACCAAAACCTAAAAGTCAACAAAATTCAACGGTCAAACCTTGTCCCAACTCGCCGAGTGCACTCCGGTGACTCGGCGAGTAAACACATGTCCACTAACTCTTTGTCCCTCTTGGTACGTAGATTCCCTCCCTATGCTCGACGAGTCATACTAGATAGGAATTGCGGGGCCACCCCGACTCAACTTGCCGAGTCTCAAGAACAACTCGGTGAGTACCGCCTTGAACTCCAGTCCTCTAACCCCCTCTTGACTCACTGAGTCATCCCCCAACTCGGCAAGTCTGGACACTGAGCAATTTACGTGAAACCCTAACCCTACTCGCCGAGTCTCAAGAACAATTCGGCGAGTTCATGCCATGCACAAACTCTACTGACCTCCTGAGGTCAGATCTGTTTCCCCAAACCATAGATATGGCCTCCC